CATTGAAAATTCTATCATATTCATTCTGAAACATTTATGTAAATGCCTTATTCATACGGTAAAGTATCTTGTCTTCTCGTACCTGAAACCAGCCCTGATCCTCAGGGCTATGATATCCTGCATTCACCTCAACAAATCCCTCCTTTCCAAAACCTGCTCGAGAATAAGCTCTTGAGAGGTGAGAATTAAAAGAAGTAAAGTTAACTTGTGTGAGAGCATATATCTTGTTTATGTTACTGTTAATGCAATTGCTCACAACTGCATCAATCAATCTCTAGTTTGCTACCATAGATATAGCTCCCTCTGATCCTCTCTTTGTCAAAGGGTAAAGCCTCGACTCTTATTTATCCCCAAACACTGTTGCTGCAACATTCTGCCATTACATGAATCATCAGGCAGAACTCAAAAGGCAATCAAAACAACACCCCAACCAGAAAACATAGGAAGAAGAAAAATGGACCTGATTGACTTGAGATTGCTGCGAACTGGTTATGGATGAGCTTGGACATGCAGAAGGAAGCTTTATTAAATGTTCACGATGAGTATGAGTCAATCCATGAATAGGAAGAGTAGCCTTGATAACAGGTGTGGCAGCAAAAGCTTGCAATTTCACCATGACAAGAATCAAGAAAACTTGAAATTTGCAACTTCAGTTTTATATTGTGATGATCTATTTGTTTCTGCTGCAATCTTCACTACATTTGCAGTTTAATAGAGAGGAGGGAAGGAGAATATATTTTGCTTTCTTCTTCATCATGGATACCTTTTGCATGACTAGCTAGTTGTTGTCCATCACATTTTGTTGAACCCATCCAACTAAGGTATGCATTTACCATTTTTAAATTACACATGCAATACAACCTGAAATCTTCCGGTTTACAACTTTTAGACTTTGATTATAAGTTTCTTAACAGCTTTATTCTCTGGGATGATGAGATTATTAACTTTCCTTTTGTCAAGAATTTAAGGGAATCATAGTCCCATGACACGCCTAGCATGATCAATATGAGGAATTCCTACTTTAGTATACAGAGCCGCTGCCAAATGACCAAAGTGCCCTTCTATCATTCCAAAATCAGGTATGGGATTGGCTTGGCTTTTCTTGGAAATGTGAATGAAATATGCCTCTGCAGTGAGAGGTGATTTTGGGCAACTTAGTAGTTTAATAGGAATGAAGCTTGAAGGGTTATGGTGAATGTTTGGAGTTTGGAATGAAGTAGCTGTCAAGGGAAGCATTGTCTCGGCCTTTTGTGCCTTTGGAAATTTCATTGCCAGTTTGCCACGTTCCCTTACCTTCTGATTATATTTCTTTTCAGGAACTGCTTTATTTCATATCAGTTGTTAAATCAATGCAAAAGGAATTTTAATTTGAGGTTTAAAGATTACAAACTTTAAATACTGATTACTGAGAGATTTGCCAATGTTTTACCACTAAATGAAATCAATTAGAAATGAAACATTGTGGATTATTATGGTTGGATTGAGTGTTCCACAATTTATAGCCTCAAATACATTACTCTTACAGCGTTTGGGCAGTTCAGCATCACTACATTGTTTAATCAGCAAAGGGTGGTTCAGGTTTCAGGGGATATGCCACCATCTTGCAGTTGCTAACTTGCTCCTAACTCCCAACAGGAAAATGTTGTGGCCGTTTAGAGAAGAAAATAAAAGGAAAGAGACTATTGGATCCAACTCTTGAGGGTGTAAGATTACCGCTTATTTCAGATGGTGCTCAAACAAAGATGCCATCTCAATCTGCAGCATAAGCCGAATTCAAAAGTTAAAGAATTGAATGATATAGAAGCTAGAATCTAAAGCAGTCTTTTCCTTTGTTGACGTATAATTGGTTAGTAATATATGCGAGAAAAAAACATATGTACAACCCCAAAATACCTCACAGCTAATCTATTAGCATATATCTGGATTCTTTGAGAAGCCAGACAAGCTTGCAATCTACGTGCGTCTTTTTTTTTTTTTTGGTCAGATAGCTAAGAAGCTGCAGATTCACCTCTAGTATTTTCTACAAACCCCTAAAGTTTCCTTTATGAATGGTAGAATATTTTATTCTGAAAAGACTTGTTCAATTCACCAAAGGAATTACACCCCAAAAAGTGAAAAGATGAGAAAGGAGTAAAAAATGGCAACCATATAGAAAATGCATTCCCTTAAAAAGCATGGAAAAAGGCATATTCATAACAGACTATTCTTTGAAACTGGATGCTTTTACCTATAAGTTATTGTTTTTAACTAACCAAGCAAGCATATTTTGCTTGCAAGTCTATCA